ATCTTCTGTGCACGGTGGCCCGCTGGCCAAGCCTCCCTGAGTGCTGTCATCCTCCGAGAATGACAGTCTGGGCTCTCCTGTGGCGTCCACAGGCAGTAAAACAATCAGGTGATTCTCTTTCTGTTTCACAGACTTCAGACTGGGAGTAGCTAAGGAAGCCTTGCATTTCACCTTCTTGTGACATGGTTTATGGAGAGCTGGGCCAAGACTGAGCGACTCGCCGGCTGGGAGTGGGTAGAGCAAGGGATGGCTGAGGATCACGTTTCTCAGTGTTTGGGCAAGACCAGGCCCTGCCTACCCAGAGACTGACACCAGACAGTGATTGCCATGGGCAGTGCAGTTTTGGGTGCCCAGAACCCAGACCCAACAAATGTTTGAGTACCCAATAAACATTTGTTGACAGAATTTCTGATGAATGAATATGTTGTGTCTGAGTCTTAGCTGAATATAAGCTTCCAACGGATAGGGGCAGAGCAACCTGGAAGATTCTGGATGTGGAGCTGGCACATCCTTTGTGATGGGACATGTGTGAGGACATGACCTGTCTCTGGGCTATCAGGCTTCTTGCCCTGATGACCCCATGATCTTAGGCCCAGGGCTCAGGCACAGCACACAACAGCCCAAGGGTCCAGGTCAACCTGGGTGCCTGAGTGGGGGGCTGCCCTGACAACTAGTTATATAGAAAAGTGCCATTTAAAACGCAAGACAGGCAGCCGGGATCCAAAACCAAACATCTGTTTTTAGGAAGAGAGCTCTGGAAATGAAGCTGGGGAACCTCCCTGTTTCTGAAGAGGAGGATTTGCAAGATAAGAACAAGAGAGCATCCCCTTGCCCTGTCAGACCTGGGACTTCAGGACCAAGGCAGGGCAGACAGAAGATGATCAGAACTGGCCACAAGGCCCGGGCCAGACTCTGGGCCAGGTGACAGATAGGGATGGGCTTGATTCCTGGCTTCATGTCATTCCGCTGTGGCCTGGAGCCAGGCTGGGCCTGTGGGTAGGGTGCCAGAGTTGGTTCCAAGAGGAAAGGAGAGATGGAGGACCAGGCAGGACCTGGCAAAGGGGAGGCGGTGGGTAACTTCCATGAGAGTAAAGAAATGCTGGCATTTCCCAAGGGGTAGGGACAGAAGGGACAGGAGCTGGTGCTTCTGGTAGCTCCTGGACACATTCCACAGGGTTGCATTGGCTACCTGCCTCTCCGAGGGGACACACAGGCACAGGTTCCTGCTCTTGGAGCTTGTGGTCTAGTGGAGAGGTAGCCACGCCGCTGAGTAGCCAAGAGTGAACACAGAGTGACCCAATACAAACAAATCCATGGAGATCACTAGCGAGGGGCTGGGCTGTGGGCCTGCGGGCGGGTGGGGGACGCAGTGGGGGAAGGAGTTCAGAAGGGGCAGGAGAAGTTCCCAACGGAGGGAGAAGAATGAATGACAGCAGAGAATGCCATAATGGGTTTTATAGACTCAAAAACAACAACAACAACAATAAAAAAAAAAAAAACACAGCAGAATTGAGGAAAACACAGGTTTCATTAGGAAATTCATTTTTCTAGCAACTCTATTGTCAAGCTCAGACCTCATCTTCCACACTGACTTGTATCCAGAACATTCTCAAAGCAGTTTTGCTCATTTTTCACTGAACCAGACGAAAGTACAATTCCCAAGTGTGCATTCCCATGGCTGGTGGAAGGAGGCTGCTGTGGAATTCTCCTTCCTGCCTCCCCAGTTCCTCTGTGCAAGTCCAGGAGCAAAGAGAGGACATGGGTCAGCAGGAGCTGACACCTGGCTCTGGGAGCGAGCCTCTTCTAGAAGGCTGGAGACTGCAGGGCCTTTGCTGAGCCCGGCTTCCCTACTCCCAGATAGGTCAGGGTTGCCTGCAGGCCCAAATGCCCAGAGCTCCTGGAAGACTGTCATCCTCAGTGGTGCCTGGCAATGTAAGGTTTTGTCCATTGGCCATAGATGGGATCCCCCACAAAGCTGGATGGAAAAAATCCAGGGGCCCCCAAACTGCACTGCAGTTTCACTGCATGAAACTCTCTAACTCACTCTGAGGGAGCCCCCACACCCAGGTTCTCCCTCAGCCTCCTTCCCTCTTATAACATACCCCTGGTGTTCGCTTTTAAATTTCCCTTTCTCATCTAATACAGGTGCGTAATTAACATCTCATGATTTTCACTATATTTGTCTTGATATTTAAAGAGAAACCCCCCCAGACCTGAAGGTTGGAGGAAACAGCCCTGGCGGTCAAGGGCACATTGAACAGGACTGGAGATCGAGACCCAGCCTCACCACAGCCACCTCATTCCAGGGCCCAGCTACAAAATAGGTGCAGAATGGCTCTGCGTCCAGCTCCCAGGGCTTGCTGTAGAGGCCACAGGGTTATGAAAGAGTCACAGTCATGACCGCGGGAGCTGTTATCACTTTCAAGAGCGCTGGATCCTCTAGACTGTCCACTCACAGCCCAGCAAGGCCTCCCCCGCACATTCCCATCCTGGGCCCCGTCAGCTCCACCTACTACCTTTCAACAGCCCCGCTTCCTTCCCTGCACCCAGAGTGTCTCTCCCAGGGGGAGGCGATGACACAGATAAGACTGTCTCAGAAGCTAAAGAACAGCTCCAAACCAAACCCAATCAAAACACTTCACCGGGCCTGGTAAAGCACATTGTACTTTCATCCTGCAGAGATTCTTCGACCAAGGAGAGAAATTTTCTCAATAGATCTCTTTTTTTTTTTTTTTTTTTAATAGAGGCATGTTTTTTTTTTTATTTATTTATTTATTACATTTGTTTGTTTTGTTTATACATGCACTGGGTACAGTCAGAAGCGCGGGAGGGTGAGAGAATTCACCAGAGCCAGAGCGGGGAGCAGAGCAGGCAGAAGGACCGAAGTACACTGCTGAGGGGAGCAGCGGGCGGCAGGAGAGGTCTGCGCACCATGTGGGATCCTCCTCCGGTGGCCGGGGAGCAGCCGGGGATCGAACCGGCGCCGCAGAGGCCGCGGGCAGCTTCGCAACCCAGCGCTCAACCGCTGCGCCACCGGGGAGGCCCCTCAATAGATCTCTAATGGAGCACATGGTAGGCTCAGAACTAAAAGCAGGGTGACCTCACTGTAGCTAGAAGGAAACAAACAAGGGACCCAGGGTGGCCAGCACAGCTACTGGCAGGGGCTCTGAGTACTGTTGTGCGGTTAGTGCACTGCACAAAAGCACCAGCCCAGGTGCTTTTCCCCTGTGGGGACTGAAATCCACTCTGCCTGGAAAGCAGGTCATCCATAGAGTAGTGTGGGCCTCCAGGAGACCCCTTTTGAAATTCAGACAAAGGTCCCATGTCCTCCCACAGGGCTTGCTCCCCTATCTGAGTGGTAATAGTACTGGAGAGAATATTCAGAGCTGATAGGGACATACAAGAAAGACTCAGGCAAGAGAAAATGAGGTTCTGAGCCAGGTGGTGGGCACCCAAACAAGCCCCAGAGACTGCTTTTAGGCTGCAGAAAGGTGGTGGTAAAAGCCACCTGGCAGATGGGGGACATGGGTAGGGAGGGGCCAAGTCATCACAAACCTCCAAGTGTTCGGGTCGAGAAGGCTTGCGTCACCTATGTAAGTCATTTTCAAATTGCAATGATCTTGATTTCTTTTCACTCCTTTATCTTATTTTTATTTTTAGTAAAACCCTTGCCCCCAAGGAAAGAAAAACAGACAAGGGAAGGTTTGTTCTTGTTGAATCTGGGGAGGGAGTACCCAGAGCTTTGCCCACCCTGCCCCCTGGCACCCCACACCAGCACTAGGGCCCTGCGGGACAGTGTGGAAATCACTCATTGAGTCTGGCTCCCCTTATTCCAGTGGCAAACAGGTGAGGCTCAGCATGTTAGTGTGATTTGTCTGAGGTGCACCAAGAAGACAGAGTTGGCCTAACTCCCCTCACCCCACTCCAGGCCCTGCTTCTCCCCCCACACCACAGAGGCAGGCCCTCATGCTACTTGGCAATGAAATTTTCAAGACATTTAGGCCTGGGTCCCTATCCTCAGGGGAGTCCCATCTTTTCCTCAAGGGATCATTCCCAGCCACAAAGTCTCATTCCTCCCACGAAGCAGCAAATCAGGTAAAGGACTTTGCGAACCCTACCCCATGAAGGGACACACCGGCCTCATGGATCCCATGGCAGATGTAATCTGGGCAGACAGCTGCAAGCAACAGAGCGAGGCTCTTCTGCTCTCTCCAGCCCAAGGGCACCAAAGGACACTGGGCACTTCCTGAGGCTCCTGTGTAGCTCATACCCTCGGCTCTCCAGGGAGGGTACACTCTGGACCTCCAAGGTAGCCTGGGCCTCTGTGTCAGCATAGGCTGCCATCAGGTTCTGCCCACTCCATGACATGATAGGACCAGAGCCTTAAATTGTTGGAAGTAAAAGGGTTGAAGTAGTGGGGGGCTGGGAAGGGGTGTTTGGAAATTTCCAAACCACACTGGGGACTGGGACCGTGGGGATAACCCAGGGAGGCACCTCTAGCACCTAAGGGTCTTCACCTGGGCTCTTGGGAAGGCCCCTTTCAACATGGGCAGGCTTCTGGAATGGTCCCAGATACTGGCCCAGCAGCCGGAACTGGGGTGAGGGAGCAGCACTCACCACCCACCTCGGTATGTTGCAGATCCCTTCTCTGCCTCCCACAGACCCCACCTCAGCCTCTTCCCAGCAACCCAGGCCCCTCTCCTGCCTTCTGGGGGCCTGCCCACCAGGATGCCACCCCAGTTTCTCCTGCTCCTGACCTTGCTCCCTCCAGGCTTGGCCCCTATCAGAGCACTGTCAGTGAGCTCATGTCCCCCACCACCTACTTACAGGAGGACACTCTTCCCAGCCTCTGAGAGTCTGCAGGGGAGAGGCCCTGCCAGGAGCTTACTTTCGGGGAGACGCTGAACAGAGCAGTGCTCTTCTGTTCCACTGTCGCTCTGCCCCGCTCCCCAGTTCTCCCACTCCAGAGCATCAGGAACACAGACCTCCCATTACTTTGCTCTCATGTGCATTTATTGAGCACCCACAGAGTGCGGGCACGATGCTCAGGGTTCAGAGCCCTGGTCTAGTCCAAAGGAGACCAGGGCTGGCACAGAGTACATTTCATAGCCGCTTAACATCTGGCCAGGGACAGGGAAGTGGAGAACTAATCACAAAACAAGTTCCTATTCGAAAGCAACAGAATCTCCTCTGAGAGTAATATATAGTCTATGCACACGCACGCACACACGCGCACACACACACACACCCTGATGAACACAGAGGGCACCCACTTGGTTGTATATGCATGCATATACAGGCGTGGTGGGTAAAGGGACTAATGTATATGCTGTCCGCGCGCAGCACCCACACCACCGCACAGACAGACAATCTGGCTTATGCTATCAAAGACACTATGTCTCCAGGTTCTATGAAGCAATCTGTCCTAGATGCCTGCAGCATGCAAAACTTGGAAGATCCAGAGATTCACAGTTAAGGAGGACAATGGGTATACACGTGTACTTTTCCATCCTTGGAGGCCCAGCCACAGCACACGGGTCACTCTTGGTCTGCGACCGCAAAGCCTTGGTGAAGCGCTCTCAGGGCAGAGCTGAGGGGCTGGGGCTCTCTGTCCAGTGGCAGGGCCCACGGGAGCCCTGGAGAGTCCACCAATCTTCAAGGCGGAGTTTTAAACTCGGTTTCGAGCGTGTAGTCCTGCAAACAGTATTCCTTGTGACAGAGCCGCAGATGGAGGTCAGAGGTTCTTTTGCTCGCTCTCTGCAGCTTCCCACGTGTGCTAACGCATTTTGTAGTCATTAGATACAGATGTTTCACACAGCTGTCCCTTAAAATCCAAGTCTACTGTGAAATCGAGGTCTCGCTGCAAAGGAGGAGCAGGGTCAGCGTGAGCGGGTGGGAGTCCGGGCGCCCCTCCCTTCGCTAAGGCGTTCCCACGAGCAGCCCTCGGGAATCTATTCTGGTACCTCATTAACCTCCTAGGAAGCGCTTTGATTTCTAACCTATATTCTTCCTGTTATAATATAAAAATGTTCCCTCTGATTTCATCCTGGGAGAAAACAGAGCGGGGTGGTTGCGTGAAGCAGCCAAACCCCAGAGCATCGAGAGACTCGTTCAGTGTACACAGCTCACCCAGGACAGCTCAGAAACCATCAGAAGCTCTCACCCCTCCAGGCCAAGGGAAGACACGTCAGCTAGACGTCTTCCAGGCCACCAGAAACTGCCATTTCCTGGCTCAGCTCATCCTGAATGAGATGAAACTGATGGCTGCAGCCTCCGAGGTCCTCCAAGCCCCTCCCAGAGAGTCCAGGGAAAGTCCCTAGTTCCTAAGTTTTAAAAGTTCCCAAGGTCCTGCAGTTGTGCCCAGTCACAGCCAAGTCCACTCCCCACCGCCTCCCTCCATCACTTTTCCTTTTGGTGCCTGAGCAAATGGGTGCCCGGAGCCCTCTGTGGTCCCTTCTCTCTGACCCAGGCCACACAGGGGCTGCCTCAGCACTCACCACATTTTTGGCATTTGGCTTCATGGATATCGTCCCGTAGATCTCCTCCCCCCTCCGAACAGTGAGGTAATCTTCCAAGTAGAAGACGGTCTGCTTCCAGTGGGTGTAGGGGGCGTCAGGGGCTGAGGGCCAAAGACGGGGAAGGGAGAAGGAAGCATCAGGGAAGACGTCTCCAGAAGAGCCAGGACCTGCCTGGAGATTGCTGGGTTTTGTCTGGGACTCGGTGAAGCCCCAGGCGCTCAGGCCTCGCAGCCTGCCTCCATGTCCCTGCCGCAGCTCCCCAGCCAGCCCTGGGGGCTCCTTCCCGGAAAGTCTCCTCAGGACTGCTGAGCATCAGCAGGAACCCCAAGAGAAACAAGCCGATATTCCAGGTTCAAGCCAAGAAGTGGAGGATGAACCCCCTCTTACAGACCAAACTCATCAGCACAAATCACTCTCAAAAACGCTACTGTTTGTATCATGTGGTAGAGTGAAGGCTTTCTGACAGGGTGGGGTTGAGATCATAGAGCAGGCCACCCTGTCTCCCCTTAAGGGACATCATTTATGCAAAAGCCACAGTTAACCCTCGTTCCCCTGACACTCAAATAGCTTTCCCTGCCCGGGAAGTGAATGAGCACCCTGGGCCAGGCCTGCTGCAGGGCTTCAGCTGTGCCTTCCTAACTCGATCAAAAAGAACAAAGAGACCATTCTCACCGCACAGCCCGTCCACTGGTCCACGTGCCTCCTGCGAGACCCAAAGCCACGTTGATGTTCGCATGCCCTGCATGTGCCCTTAAGCCCACCCATCCTCTATGGCACACTGTAAGTCCTGCAGCCAAATAAGGGGCTGTGTTGTGGGCCCCACTCCTCAGCTGTCTTTGGAACATTCCCTCCTTATTCAGGAGGCTGTCTCCTACCCATCCTTTAAGGTCACCTCTTCCAGGAAGCCTTGCCTTACTACGCTCTGGGACTAAGGACCGGGTTTATGTCCCTGTGGTATCATCATGTCATCGCATAAATGCCTTTGTCTTGTGCCCTCACAAGACTACATTCTCCATGAAGGCTGGAGTCATGCCAAGCTTGTTTTCTATTATGTCCTTGGTACCAACCACCACACTTGGTATCTCTACCAGTACTGAATAAAGGATGGATAATAGTAAATAATGAATAAATGATGGTAATAACCCTGAATGGAAAGTTTGTGATTCTTCAATGTTCAGTTAATTGGGGGCTTTGGAACTACAAGTTGTAGAAGGACCCATCATATGGTAAGTTCCTCTGGCTCCACCAGGATGCAGGCCTCATTAGCACTGACTTCCTTTTTGCCTACGATCAGAGCTAAAGATGAGAAACAGAGCTAAAGATGAGGACAAAGGGAACTTTTGGTGCTAGAAGCATTTGCTTCGAAAGCTGTCATCAGGAAACACTTCTATGTGGCTTTCTATAAAGTTCTGGAGATAGAATAAAGCCTTGTCATGGGGAATATTTGGGAGGCAAGTTTTTAATTCATCAGGAAGAGGACCCCAGTTGCACCTGAGGTCCGCCATGCTGATGTTCACACAACGACCTCTAATGGAGTTTACGATACATGGTAAAGAGCTTTCAAACCCCAAAATCTATGTTAATGAAGGAAGAGTCTGTCTTCCTTTGCCCTTTGCATTGAGTTGGCTTGATCAAATGTCAGTGGTTTGGATAGACTCAATTAGCCTTCAATGCGTGCATGCAAAAATCAATATAAACTCAAGGTCATGGGAAGGAAGAGCAGCATCTTGAATTGCTTGAAGGAGGCTCATGAGCATGCAATCTGTGCCTTTCAGATCCTGGATCCCAGACACAGGCAGCACCCGGCCTTCCTGGCCTTGAACGCACATTGCTGTTTACAGGAAAGGTCCACCTGCTCCAGTACGTTCCTTGCCAACTACATCTAAATAAATTGTCAGGAGTCTCTGGTGTGTGTAGAGAATGGCAGTGTTTGATTGACAGCCCCCTCGCCCCCACTTCCACCTACACCAGCTCAGACAGGTGTCTCTCCTGTTCTTAAAGAGCTTCAGGCAAAGGGATTCAAGAAGTTTCCTCCTGTCACCTAATGAGAGTCCTTATGAGAATCCCAGAGATTCACTGGCTCAGATTTCCTAGCCTTCGAGCTCAGAAGTCAGCCTCTGATGGTGGCCTCCCCAAACCTGCCAGCCTTCAGGTGGAGGAAAGTGATTTTTCCTACTTGCCATCAACATCAAAATGTTAAGAACTTTCCCCAAACATCACATTTCCATGATAGAACCATTGGCCATGCACCAGCGGTCTAAGCCAATGTTCTCAGTCCTAATTCTCCATCAAGTAGAGGTTTTGACTACTCCTAAAGATTGAATTCAGTAACCCTGGGGGGTGAGTGGGGTGAGACTTGCCAAGACTTAACAATTCCCCCTCCTAAGTTGATACACAGTCAGGGTTCAAATCACAGCACCAACCCAATCTTTCACATCTAATAACATCCCTTGGGTGGAAATTAGTGAAGAGGACATGTAATTAGCAACAGTGGGCCCAGTTCCCACTTTGCCAAAAATGTGTACTGTGACCCTGGGATTCATTTTCTAAAACTTCAGAATATGGGGGCGTGATCGGTCACTCCTGAGGACTGGATGGGAAGAAACAGGGGAAGGTATATACAGAACATGGCTGAGCCTCCTGTTGTGCCCAGCACAGTTCCAGTTTACACATATTTTCCTGGTGCAATTATAATAGTTCTCCTTTTCACCCTCAAAAATGTCCTTAACTGAAAGAAAAATTACATGCTCACCCTATCGATCATGTAGTGGGTCCACGTTAGGGTGCTACTGAGCTCTTGTGTTAGGTGTTCATGGGAAGTGGCATATCCCTCATTTATCCCTTAACTGTGGCTCTAGCTTGTGAAGATATGCGACCTCACTCAGGTTTTCGAGAATGCACCAGGGAAGTATCCAGAAATTTGTCATGGGCAACAGCGAATGTGTAACACAGGGATGTGGATGGCATCTAGAATTGTTCTCATTAGTGGATAAGTCTTTTTCTCCCTCCTCTGCCCCAGCTCTAACCTCTAAGATTGTGTAACTGACTTGCAGCTTTCCCTATCGGGAAGATGTTTTTGTGCCCTTAACACCTTGGTTCTACCTGCCAGCTTCCCCTTTTCTCGTTGGCTCCTCCTCTTTCCCCATCACAGCCTCTCTGGGCTCTGGGTTATGGATCGCTTTCGCTCTATCTTTTGAAATGCACATGAACAGTACGGTCCACACCATTATTCATGCATAATTAATTCATCCATTCGCAGCTTTCTATTCATGATGCCTATCATGGGCCAGACATGGTTCTAAATTTGGAAAATAGTGGCCGAATGAACACAGCCTTCCCCCTGCCCCACCACCACATACACAGACCCCACAGCCCAAGTTCAACCACACTCAGGTAGTTAGTGATAATGTCTGATGGGGCTTGTGATCAAGGAGGGGGTGAGGAGCACAGGGCATTCTGGGGGCAAATGGCAGGGGCCTCCTGTGAGATTTTTCCTGGAGGAGCGGGGTCCTGCCTGCTATTCACTTCCCAATCACTAAGGCACTGGCAAGTCTTTCTGGAATTTAATACTTCACCTGTAAATTCATAATTAGATTCCCTAGGCAGGTTAGTAGCTTTTTAGGGAATTAAAGACTATACACCAAGATGCTTTTTTGAGCTGAGAAAATGACTCAATGTCATAGGATAGCCAAGGGAAAAGGGGGCTTGCCAGGCAATCTGGGTCCAAGGAGTCATTTCACACTTCGTGACCCAGAAAGTGAGTCATTCAAGGTCATCTTGAATGTGTGACCTTCCCACTGTAGTGATTCCTGGAAAAACAAGGTGGATTCCTGGAAAAACAAACCCAGATGAACTTCTACCTCGGTGCTGTCCTTCCACCCACTGCACAGAAGCCCCAGGGTGCCAAAGCCCACTTCCTGCCCCACTTGCTGTGGATATTTCAGGGCTGGGGGCACTTGGGCTGGCAGACTGGCACAGCCTGGAATCCTGGGACTCTGCCCATTCACCATGGTTTCCGCCCAGAACTGCAGAGAGGAGATGCCAGCGCTATTAACAGGAATTGTTTTCAAGCTGTACTGTTCACAGTGTGCTTTTGAGTGGGTCCCCCAGAGCCAGCTGCTGTTGGGCTGAGATGGGAAAGCCAGCTGGGGGTCCACAAGGAGGGGCCACATATAGCAAACTGCACTTTGCATAATGTTTAAAAATAGCTGAGCCCAAACAATACCTTGCTTAGGTGCACACATACATGTGATGATATTTTTTAAAAATAGCAAGGGGTAAGAAACCCACAATTCTGCATAGTGCTTATCTAGATGAAATGAGAGTGGGATGGGGGTAGAGCATGGAGGTAGGTACAGAGGTAATCGCAGCATTTCAGTCATTTGGTTAGGTGGTGATTTCACAGGGATCTATTATGTGACTATCAACTTATTTACATGTATTCATTATAAATACAATCATGTACTTATAACGGTTAATATTTATATTCTAATCAATCATAATTTTTAATATTAACTAATGTGTTTATAGTCCAATAGTAGCAATACATTTACTTCTAGCTACTGCTTTCATTCTAGTTAGCAATACTTTATTTACATTCTAGTTACTAAGGAGCGAGCTCACAGGTGTTCATTATATTAAGAAATAATTAAGCAGAAAGTGAACGGTGCATGACCTAATGATGATAGTAGCTTATGACTCGAGAATTAGGATTAATCTACTTCTGTGGATCTAGGGATGTTAAGAATAAAAAGGGAATACTCTTGGGGTGAGAGTGTGGAGGTCCTGAGCAAAGCCTGCTGCCAAATCCACATTAGCCAGCAAAGATGTCTGCTACACGCTGGAAGCAACACTCCACACTGACCTCCCAGGGCAGCTGAGGAAGCAGTTGAAAAATTACTCCCCTCCCCATCTCTGTCTGTGCGGAATCCTGCAGCAAAAGGGACCCATGGCAGCCTAGGCAAATGGGCTTATTGGGACCAGGGCTTACGCCTGAGCGAGGAGAGGGAATTGCCTTCACAGAAGGACATCAACATTAGTTCAGTTCTCAGCCCTCTAGTTCAGGCCTTTCACGAGGGCAGTGGATATCAAAGCTGTCCTTGCAGCAGAGGCACCGGGAGGGCTCCTGAAGACATAGATTTCTGGGCCCCACCACAGAGTTTCTGATTCCACAGGTCTGGTGTCAGGCCTGGGAATTTGCATTTCTGACAAGTCCCCAAGTGCTGCTGCTGCTGGCCCAGGGGCCACACTTAGAGAAGCACTGCCACAGGCATGGGGAGACTGTCGGAGCTCTGGCTGTCCTCACAGAGCCTGCTTCAGGGGTTCTAGAAGGGGAGGGGGCACAATGTTGTGACTGCAAAAAAGACAGAGGAGCAGGCTCACACCTTGGTCTAGAGCCTGGTCTCTGACCTGATGACACCTTGTCCTCACATTCCTCCTCTGAGGGGCTCGGGTGGGGTTCCGGAAGGGGGTATCATCCCAGAACAGGAAGGAAACAACTCATGTGCTGGAGACTTCAGCAGTGAGGGCCAATCCTCACCCTCTTCAGACCAGGGATGACTTCTTGGGTTCTGAAGTTGAGCCTTCTTCTTGTGGGATTTCCGGAAGGTCACCGCTGCCACCAAAGAGGCAGAGTCCTCTCTGGGTGGGCTCCAGAAGGCTTAAACTGTCTGCTTAAACTCAAGGACTAGAAAGAGATCATCTCAAAGAAAGGAAAACTCCAGCTGAGAGCTAGGAACCGGACTCTAGAGAGCCAGACCTTCTTCCAGAGTACGCTTACCCACTGGCTTTCTCATCCCTGGCTGCAGGACAGGTGTTCACCTGGGGTGGGAGCCACCAAGCCAGCCACTGTGGCTCTACCCCTGGCCTCCAGGGACTAACCGGGTCCGAGGAGACACCTCTCAGCCCCTTCACTGCCCATGCTCCTCGTGGCGAGGCTGCCTTCCCCATCCTTCAAGGTCCAGGCAAAATTCCCTCCTCTCCTGGCTGCTCCTGCCCCCCAGGAAGGTGAGCTGCCCCTAAACAAGAGCAGGGGTCTCTGGTTTTCCCCAGAATAGGGGGGTACAGCACTGGTTTGGCTTATGGAGATCAAAGACTGTAGGTGGTGGTCAGTAGACACTCTTTCTGGAAAAATCCTCTATGAGGGATTGGATAAGTCCCTTGCCCTCCATGTCCATGGATACAAGAGGCTCATCGTCACCAGGTTTCAGGATAATCAAATCCTTGGACTCTGATATAGAGCTCACCCACCCCTGCCACGTGTGCACTCAGTCCCCTGGGACACGCTTCCAAATCCCAGGAAGATTCCACATGAATGGCCAACATGAGTGGATTCCCAAGGGTGGGGGTCATACCTTCATATACTCCTTTAACAGAGATTTGTTGAGAGCCTACAATGAGCCAGATGCTGCTTGCGAAGCCAGAAAGCAGCGATGAATGAGATGAGACCTGGGGAGACTGGGGGTTACAAAATAAGGTGGGAGTGTTGAATACATGTTGGCTCACCCTATACTGGAACCCCATGTGGATGTTTAAAAAGAAAAAGTAGGCATCTGTGTGAGGCTATGGAATTATCTCCAAAATATAGTGTTAAGTAAAGAAAAAGTAGCACGGGGCATCATATATGGTCTGAACCAACCTGTGTGGGGTTTTTTTCAAAGGTGTAGTTTTAATCTTATACTACACTTATGTAAGATGCCACGGGGTTGGGGAGGGCCAGGTAAATCTTCACAGATCTCCGTATTCTATTTTTGCAACTTCCTGCAAATCTATGATCATTTCAAAATAGAAAGCAAAAAAAAAAAAAAGTGTATATAGATATACACTGCAATTTTTTAGAAGGATGCCAGAGAATTCATTAATCAACACCTGCCTGAGGCATGGGTCTGGGGTGGATGGGCGTGTTGGTTATTGTGCGTGTCTATCCCTAGAAACACTGCCCTGAAGGACATACGCAGGGCACCGAGCCTGGCCCAAAAGGAAAGGAAAGGAAGGATCAATAATAATAATAATTGAGCTGACTGAGGCCTGTGCTGGAGTGGCCAGGTGAGGAGGTGGGCATGGGCTTGTGTCCCCCACAAAATCATGTGCTAAAGCCCTAGCCTGCAGTGCCTCAGAATGCATTTGGAGATGGGGCCTTTCAAGTAGCGAGGAAGTTAAAATGAGGTTCTTAGGATGGCCCGAATTTGATCTGTTGGTGTTCTTATAAGGAGAGGCGACTAGGACACACGCACAGACACAGGGGCGTGCACAGGGTAAGGGCCATGCGTGGGCGTGGTGAGAAGGTGGCCATCTGCAAGTGGAGGACAGAGCCCAAACCTGGCGACATCTTAATCTTCAACTTGAGGAAAAAAGTTTGCTGCTTAAGCCCCCAGTCTGTGGTGTTTCACTACGGCGGCCACGCAGAGTGGGACAGGAGGAGAGGAGCCGGCAGGGCCTCTGGTAAGAGATGCTCTCTCACCGGCCCCCCATGGCGCATCTGCACAGACAGACAAGGGTGGTGTGTGTAGAGACCTGAGCTTCTTCAAGTTTAGGGAACAGCAAGGCACTTAGTAGGACTTGGGGTTGGAAGGCTCAGTAAGGAAAAGTGGTGGCAGAAATAAGATGGGAGAGGGCCTTCCTGGTGGTGCAGGGGTTAAGGACAGCGCTGTCAAGATGTCCCCAGCGACTGCAGCATCAGTTTGGTCCCCAGTTGGCCAGGGAGCAGCCCACATGGCACAGCAGACCTCTCCTGTCTCGCCCGCCCGCTGCTCCCCTCAGCAGTGCATTTCAGTACATCTGCCTGTTCTGCTCCCCACTCTCTCTCACCCCCCACAACTCTGGCTTACACCGCAGGTCTTGTATGCATAAATCAATTTTTAAAAATTAAAAAAAAAACAAGAAAGAAGATGGGAGAAATGGGCTCCGGCCAGGTCATGGAACCCCAGTTATTTGCTCAGAAATTTGGACTGGTCTCCTGCAGACAAGGAGGCTCCTCTGAATGAGGGCCAAGAGGGAGAGCAGGGGTGACCTTTGGGGAGCACTATCAGAGACTTAGTGAAGGATGGAGCAGGTGAAAGTTGGGAAGAAAGGAAAGAGACAGAGAGCCACTACTGGCATCTGGTGAGAGGTCTGCGGGATCCTAGCCGAAAGCATGGCAGTGGAGAGAGGGGTATCTTATTCCACTCTGCAGCAGAATATGCTCAGCAAATGTTCCATGAACAAAGTCTCAGCTGAGCCCTCCCCCCATGCACCCTATGCCTGGCTGGCCTCTCCCTACCGGGCATAGCTCCCTCAGTGCTGCCCATGCTCGTCACAATTTATTTACCTTTCCCTCAGACAGCTCAAAGCGTGGGGATTTTCCATGCCTGGAAAAGGCCCACAAATGCCAAGTGACAAGTGACTAATGTCGCAGCTCCTTCCTCCCAAGTGGAGGCCAGTCCCAGTCACTTCCCACAAAGCCTCAGCACCAAGGGAGAAGTTCTGGAAGCTCACAAACGACTCACCTGTGGAAAACCCCATTTTCTTGTGGCACTTGGTAAATTCAATATTAAAATAGGTGACCAGGGCGTGGACGTAGTCGTTGCGCTGAATTTGCAGGCAGAAGGCGGACGTGAAGGACAGCTCCTCCGTCTTGACTGTGTAAATATCCACCTCCTGCAGCCCAGAGAAGAGAATGGACCGGACACTGAGCGCCCCCTGGCCCGGGTTCCCCCCAGCAGCTTCAGGCCCATGAGAGGCTCCTGGAGAGAGTCCCCAGGCCCTACCCGCCACCGCCCAGGACCTGCCTCTGTCCTCCCTAGGGTGGTACGCTGAGGAAGTGGTGCAAACAGATTTGAGTCAGAAGGCAAGAGGAACAGAATGAAGAGGTTATGTAACTGCAGGGAATGGGGGCTGTGGGGGGTGGGGAGAGAAGAGGATTCATTAGACAGAGTATCCCTAAGCCCCATCCCCATATCCTGGAGGCAGTGCACCCCAGCACGGCCGCAGTCATCTGGTCCTTGCCACAGTGTGGCCCCAGGATGATGAGTGTCACCTGGGAGCAAATTCTGAGAGGGTGGGGGTGGGAGAGTGAGGAGGGCCCCCGGAGTCTACCCGATCAAGCCCGCCCAGTGACCAAAACGCAAGTTTCCCAGCATTTCCACCCACCAGCTCCCATCAATAGGCGGGAGCAAATAACTCAGGAGTGGGGACACGAACCCCCACGCCATCACTGACTGAGCTGAGGGAGGGTCTGCTGAGCATTGGTAACAACCTGGACAGCTTAAAAAAAAAAAAAGATAAAGATAAAGAAATGGGGTAAATAAGAGGTGAGAAATTTTCAGTTTGGGCTGGGGAACAGAGAACTAATAATTCCAGCAATCTCGGTTGGGAAGTGTCCATGAATCAGTCTCTCACAGGGAGTGTGATGTGGGACACTTTGCAATGTGCTGCTCTTTTCCATGGAAGGAGGCTGTCTGCTGCCTGCGGCTCTGGGAAACAGGGCCACCTTCCAAGAGCCCGGAGGCATCAGCCTGTCTGCAGTGAGGTCTAAGAGAGAACTGTCTGCTGTCAGAGCTGGGGAGCAGGGACCTCTGTCCTCAAACCCCTGTGCCTGGAATGGTTCCCAAATGGCTCTCCTGAGACCCAGATGAGGAATATGTGGGGAATAATTAGGAGAGAGGCAGCTCAGGCTGAGGAAATGAGCACAGGGAAGTACTCAAAGAGGCAGATCAAAAAATCTCTACATATTTCCTGGCTAAGGAGAGGCAAGGCAGAAGCAAGGCTTCTGGGGCCAGGGCAGAGAAGCGCTGCCTCCCCGGGGGTGGACCAAGGAGGAGGAGTGGGCAAGAATGCCAGTCAAATCAGGGTCCTGCTGCTGCCCTGGAGGTGCAGCCATAACATCTTCTTGGGGGATGGAGCGACAGCTGGAGCCCTGACCTATGGGGTTAAGAAGGGGGTAGGAGATCAGGTTGGGGGGAATGTAGGAGCGCCTCAGGGATACCACTGCAATGCAAGTTATGCTGTGCTCACAGAGGCTGAGGATGGGGAGCCAGAACTAATGGAGTGGGGAGCCCTGGGTCAGCCCTGAGGCAGGCAGAACATGACGGGATCAGAACGCAAGTCCGCCCTTATCCCACGCAGAAGTGCCAGCACTCCTGGTAAGCACCATCTGCCGCTCACTTGAATGCCGTTGGGGATGCGGTGCACACTTCTGGCCTGACATCTCCATTCAAAAGGTCCTTCTTCAAAACTAAAGATAAGAGCCCATAGCAGAGTCTATAACTTCCACCAACAGAATAAGCCTGAAGCCTGTTCCAGCTCACCCCAGTTCCCTAAATTCCTCCTTCTTCAACGTCAACTGCCTCTGGTCAATGATTTCCTCATCATCCAGGCATTTTCCCTTAGGTGGGTTCTACCAGGTTCCAGAATGAGTGGCATACTGGCCAAATCAGCTCCTTCCTCTCCTCATTCAGGACATGCTCCTGCAGCCTCTCATCGCAAGGGTGCACAGCTGACTCATGCTACGTAGTAGTCAGCCAATCCCCCTTCTTTCATTGTACCCTATCTGCCACCCCTTGTCCTTTCATACGGGGACAGGAGTGTAGGCCTCCTCCATGACGTGGGGTCCATCCAGTTAGTTTGGACCATTGCTCCAGTCTGGAAAGTCTTTTTAGACTGTGAAGTCAGGCCAGGCTCCGGGGAGGGGGGGGCTCAGAAACACAGGGCATCCCTTCTCCTCTCGTATCCAAAGTCTCCAGAGTCAGGTCTAGTCATCCTGGCTCCCCAGAGCCAGACCCCTTTGCTGGGGGCAGGGGAGTGCCTGCCCTCTGCAATAGCTCAGCCTCAGGTGACCCCAGGAAGTGAAGGGCTCCTCCAGCATCAATTACTCAGAAGGGGCCCTGGCCGCTGCTATCGCTGCCACTAAACGCTGTTACAAATGGATGTCTCAGAGCAGAAGCTTGGTCAAAACAGAGTCTTAATTATAATAAAGTGTCACACTCTGCCATGTTAATAGCAATGAAAATAGCAATTAAGTGTGTGAAGAAGGGAAAGTGTTTTCCCAACAGGCTCGGCAGGACGCTGCTCAGCATGTCAGCTAGAACGCCAATGGCGGGGCTCTCCTGGCCGCAGGGCAAGCATGGACCAGCCTCATCCTTCTCAGAGAACAGAGAAGAAAGGTCATGGGCACGGGGAGGGGAGGACGTCACACAGTCACACCCCTGAGGACTGGGCTGGAGACTCGTGGGGGCCAGGGCAGGAGAAGAGTGTAGGAGCAGGCCAGTCCCTGAAGTCACCAGCAGTTGAAAGACAGACGTGCCCACACCTGCAGGTCTGGAGCAGAAATGAACTGGGCCCAAGAACATTGAAGGGAGGTTATCCCCACGCTGAAGTCATTCTGTGCAGGCACCTGAGCAATCACTGTCATTTTGGCAAATTCTGTTGCACAATTTTGACCTATTCTGCATATCTACAGACGTGGCTGCCGGCCGTCAGTCCTGCCTGCACGGGGGAGGGCCGAGGGAGGCAGAGAGAACTGGTGATTGGAGAGTCTAAGGCTGAGGCTCCAAGTTATACCTTAAGTTTAGGCAGGATGGGCAGAGGGAGGCAGCATTGGGAAGAACTGTGTGAAGTTCCTTGGCTTCATTTGCCTCTGAGGTACCCTCTAAATGCCAGGGATTATGGGGGTCTTCTCAGAAAGGCTATATCCAGGGACAAAGGGCATTTCTCATCTGGGCAGAGTGGTCTGCATCACCCCCAGTGGGGCTAGCGCTCCTTCCATTGTCCTCTAAACGCTCCAGGCCTTCACCCAGGGCTTCCAGAAATGAAGTGCTATGTGCAGGACAGAGTCAAGATGTTTTAGCCAGATAAGGGCTGGGTGAGCCACTAAACACTTACAGAATGAACACAGAGTTTTTTGAGTTCAAAAATTAGCTTGGACCATATGAAATTGATGTCTTTCTGAATTAAAAAAAATCAGGTATCAGCCGTTTTATATGATTTAACAAAATATGTTAGCATATATAAATGCAAATACTTAGAAAAGGACTGGAAGGATCAGATCCATTCCACCCACGAACAGCGGCTACCTCTAGGGGGGATGTAGGGGTTCACAGGGAGACAAGTCAAGGGAACTTTTACTATTACTCTCTCAGACTTGGCATGTTTGAATATTTAACAGGGAGAAAGCACTAAGGATTGGTGTGCTGAGGATGTGGACCAGCTGGTCTTCATCTGCATGGAAGAGGCCCTTAGAGGAGGTGGGAGAACAGGTGCAAAGGGGGCCGCTCAGGAGTCAGGGAAGCAGCGCATGGCAGCCTCATGCGAGTGTGGAGACACGTGTGCAGTGATGATGACACAGCAACTGAGCTATGGGATTGCTTTCCGAAGGGGACCGCCACCCCTGAATGGAGTAGCTTCCCCAAACCTGAGCAAACCCTCCTGCCTGCAGGGTGTGCTCTTCTCTGATGCCCCCCATGCACCCACAAACCACCCCCCTCCACTACCACCAGCAGCACTACCACCAGGGGACAAGCACTGACCCCCCCCCCACCACCACCACTCAACTGTGCCCCACTGCCTCAGCCCAGTGAGAGCTCCTGCTTTGGGTTAGTCACTGTGGGGGTGCCAGAGGCGCTGGCCAAGGTGGCCATGCCTCACTGGGCTGGACCGTGCAAGACTTGGCATTGCCTTTACTTTGTCCACAGTTTTCATGGAGGCACAGCTAGATCCCCAGGCTGCCCAGGTCCCAGCAGGGTAAGTCTGCAGACCTTTATTAAACAGGCATTGGTCACCACTTGCTTTGGATCCACAATGTCCACCAGGGGCTCCTTCATGGCAACATCCCGGATGCAGGTCATGTCAAAGCCATAGACGTTCTCCCACCCTGTGGAAACAGAGGAAGATATCAGGGCTGGCAGCAGACCCCTCCAATGCCCTACAAGCCCCTCCTGAGAACCAGAACAGAGCATGTCTAAGGGATGAGGGGCAGCCTCGGTTCCCTACTGGCAAAATAGAAGGATGGCTCCCATCTGCAGAGAGTTTGCAGCATGCCAGATGCTCCCTCACAAGGTCTCATGTGTATGGGTTCTACTTTATGGTGAGGAAACTGAAGCTCAGAGAGACTGAGAACGACTCCAAGGTCACACAGCAGGGCCAAGACTAGAACCCAAATGAACTGACTCTTTCTGGTACCTACTTTCCTGTCCCTCTCTCTGACCCAGCAGTCCCCTGCTCACTGTCTGACCTGTCACCCACACTTCTGTCTGGGTGTCTTTGCTCATGTCATTCTCCACCCCTAGGAGGCCCATCCCTCTCCCTCCTCCCATCTGCACCCACTGAAACTTCAATGACACAGAGAGAAAGATGGGCTTTTAAAGTGACTTGGCCAGCATCCCCACTTACTGGCCAGGCCCTTGTACAAGTCCCCAAAGCTCTCTGAACTTTAGTTTTCTACACTGCAAAATGAGGGGGGCCCTGGGAATCTGCCTTTCTCACATATTGTGACTCACTCATGGAGGACCCATCCCATAAGAAATATCCCAAGGAAGGGCCTCCCTGGTGGCACAAGGGGTTAAGACACAACCTATGAAGCTATCCGCAGCCACTGTAGCACGAGTTCGATCCCCGGCCAGGGAGCTACCCACATGGTGCAGCAGACCTCTCCTGTCTCACCCGCTGCTCCCCTTAGCAGTGTATTTCTGCTGACCTGCCTGTTCTGTTCCCTGCTGTCTCTGGTGAATCCTCTCACCCCCCCGCACCTCTGGCCTGTACCCCTGTTCTTGTATGCATAAATAAATAAATCTTTAAAAAAATATCCCAAGGAGGGACCACAAACCACCCAGCAGAGCTTGTTGGCCCCTGGGGGTTGTTCCTGAGAAGCTTGGAGAAGGAGAAAGCTCGAGGTTACAGGGCTGGTGAGTAAACGAATGCAATTCTGACAGTGGAAGGTCATCCTTAAATGGCGGTGATCATTGCAAGCGTTACTTGATCACCTAGCTCGTTCAATCTACCCAGCAGCCCCCCTCCCCATGAGGATACTTGTGTACAACAGATGAGAAAACTGGAACTAGGAGAAGTTGACACGTGCCTGGCCCAATATCTCACACCAGGGAGATGGTGGAGCTGGGCCAAACCAGCTTGTCCCCTAACACTTCAGCTGTGCTGACCCAGCTGTGACAGCCACCAGGACTCAGACGGGTGCCCGAGAGGCTTCGTGACCGCACAGCTGAATCTCATCCATCTGTTTGTTCAGATGGGTTTAGAGATGCATGGAGGTCGAGATGCTTTTCTTTTAAATCTTATGGGATTATTATTTTTTAAATGTTCATCAAACAAATGGTACCCTAGGGAATGTTTGTCCTGCATGTGTTTAGGAAGGGGGGTAAGAATTGAGGAGGGAGTGTGTATGGTCAGTGCAAGTTTTGTTTCTTTGGCTCAGATTCCTTTCTACAGCACACAAAGACCTTCCTCAGGGAAAAGGCAGAAAAAGATTACTCTATCTCCCAGAGTGTGAGCACTTGTGAATTCTGGCTTGAGGGTTAGATGCCAGTCATGGCCCATTAAATCACCCAATGCTGGTGCCAAATTCCCAATTGAAACCGACATTTGGAGAAAGAAGCTGCTCATTTGGCAGGTGGACAGGCTTCAGAGAAGACCCCCTTCTAGAATCTGGAAATAGCATCCATTCTTTCCCTAGAGTAACTACACATCCTCTCCCCAGATAAAACATCACGCTAAGACATGCTACCTTCAGCTTAAAATCCTTCCTCAAGAGACCTGCAGGCATGCCCGTGCCCTTGCCTCTCTGGACCTGAAGTTAAGAGTCAGTACAAGTGCAAATACCTGAGAGTCCATGTGTGCAATGGCTAAAGGCCTGGGCTTTGGAGTTCGAAGCTGGGCTCTGCCATTTATTGCTATGTAACCTCGGCAAGTATTCAATGTTTTAAGGAGGGGGTTTCTTCTTTTGAATGGAGACGATGGTGGTTTTGACTACTCTATAGAATTGTTCTGAAGATTACAAGTGATACTATATACATAAAGTGCACCAGACAGTGCCTGGCACATGGAAAGCATTTGCTAGATAGTGCCTGCTCTTATGTGGCTTGAGGTCTGACTGCACCACCACCTGTGGACATGGGCTGGTCAGTCCTCTTCTCTGGGCTTGTTTGTTAAGTGAGAAGTTTGATTCAGTGGCTCAATGGTTCTGGGATCATCTGGGACACTTTTAAAAATCCAGCCCTAGCCAGACGTACTGAATCAGAATCTATAGATTAAGGACCTAGGAAGGTGGTATTTTCAAATCTATATAGGCAATTCAAATAGGAGTTTGGAGAACTTAGGACTGGATTTTTAAAGGCCCTTCCAATCCTTGATGGTGATCATGACATTTGTGAAGCCGTCCCCAACCCCTCCCCTCCATGGGACCTCTCCTATATCCTTAGCACCTAGAGCATAGCATCTGGCACGAGGTGGGCCCCCATATGATGCTTTTTTAACTGAAATTCATCCCCAAATATTTATATTTTGTTCACTTTTACTTAGTTCTTGTCTTATCTCTCCAGCTACACTATCCAACCTTCAGTTGTTCAGGAGAGAGATCATCCAAGACATCCGATTTTTTTTTCCTCTTCTTTCTGCTGACCATTTATTTCCTACTCACTCCTTTACTATCAGTGGAGCATGATAGCATGGCTGAGGACAAAAATCAAGCACAGTAATTTTTGTTGCAATTCTGTTTTGTCTATTGAATGACTGAATGGGGCACAAGGCCATTGGTCACCAGAAATATTGTTATTAATTTTCTGGGGATTTAAAAAAATTTAAATAACATCAGAGGAACTTGTGAACATTTGTTTATGGTTAGAGGAAACTCTGGAAAAGGACTATACTATGGTATAATGTGTGTAACTAAATCAACAACAAATCCAGACCAACCACAATGACAGAATAGATGGACTCAAACTCCCTTTAACAGCCTGGCAGAAGAAAAGTTGTGCTTTTTCTGGGAATAATTATACTATTCTTTTATATGCATTACCCAGCATTTACAAAAAATTATAAGACACATGAAAAAGGAAAAATATACAACCCATCACCAAAAGAAAAAATAGTTAACAGAATCATACTTGGGGGTAGCTCAGCTGTTGGAATTATCCAACAGAGACTTTTTAAAATACCTGTACTAAACACATCAAGGAATCTACAGGGAAGGTGGACAGCATGTGAGAACAGATGGAGAATTTGAGATGGAAACTATAAAATAAAAGAGCCAATGGAAACACTGGAAATGAAAATCAAAACACCAGAGATGAAGAATTCCTTCAAAGAGGAAATAATCAAACACTTGAAAACAGGTCAATAGCAATTAGCCTAACTTAAACACAAAGAGGTTGGGGAAAAGAGCATCTAAGATCCATGGTACGATACCAAACAATGGTTAGCATGTGATTGGAGTCCCTAGAGGTACGAAGAGAGAATCAAAAAAAAAAAAAAATTGCAGAGATAATGGCTGAAAATTTTCTTTTACTAAATCAAACGATCAGCCCACAAATCCAGGAATCCCAGAAAATTCCCAGCAAGATAAATACAAAGAAAAACACACCTACACACGTCAGAGTCGAACAGTTGCTTCAGCATAAAGAAAAAAAAAATCTCAAGAGCAGCTAAAGAAAAAGAAATATTGTAATTTTCATCAGAGAGAACTAGCTACCTCCTCCCTTCCTACCCTGGCTCAGCTATTTGAGTTTCTCTGCTGGGACCCTTAGCACTGCCACTGGCGTTTTCTCCTCTAGCCAGAAGGGAATGTGTTTAGAATAGTTTCATGCATTTAGGCTCCCAGAAACAAAGCCAACTCCTATAAAATTGGTGCAAGAGCAGAGAACTTCAAGTTCTGGGAATGGAGGCCAACGAGAAACTGAGGGCAGCAACCCAGCTTCCATGAGGTCCTGCTTTGCAGCCTTGCAGATGCAGTCACCGCCAACTCTACAGGAGACCTTCCTCTTCATCTCATTGGCCTGGAAGTGGGGACTCACCCCCGGAACCTTAAGTTGTAGATTCATGGATCACGCAAGATTCATGGATTGAGCAAGAAATCAGATTATCTACCACGTTTCCTTCCAATTTTGGCTTCTAGAACCCTCCTTCACAGTAGCAATTTTTTTTAACGATCGGTCCTTTCTCAGGGTTAAACACTACCCCTTTGCACTTTCTTCTGTGGGTTTACACTAATGCGCTCATGCGTTTGCTCATTCATTTACTCGACAGAGCATACGTTATGAGCCTAGGCCTGCCAGTCTTCCGTCTCTCTTCATACGCATTCTCTAGAAGCTGCGAGCCAACTGAGATAGGGTCTACATTTCACTCATTTCTCTGTTGCGTGTGGCTGAAAAAAGGAGAGAGGCAAGCATGGGAGAGAGAGGCGGGAAGAAGGTTGAGAGAAGACGTGAAAAGAGGGGAGAAGAGGGTGACTGGTCTGAAAGGGGCTGACCTAGTCCCACTCTCCTGCCCCCACTTTAGACTTTTCGTTTTTTAGCCAATTTCTGAGCCAACTAAAATTTGCTTACAATTGTTCCCCTAGCAACCAGCAACCTTTACACTTCACTTGATTTAAAACTCAGAGTAACAGAATCTCCATTTATTTAAAACAGATTTCTAAATGAGCTTGCTTCCTTGACTGAAAACAAAAACAGATCGCTTTTTTAAACCATTAACATAGAAAATCGTGTCTTAAATCAATTTTAAATGTGTGTTTGATTTTTGTTTTTTGGTTTCGGGTGTAAATATATATATATATATATATATATTTTTTTTTTTTCAGAGAAAGCATTTCACATAAAAAAATAGGTTTTTAATTTATTTCCCAGAAATTATGAAAATTGCAATGGACTTTGCAAGAATAAATCATGTGATCTCCAGCCCTGGGTGAGCACCTGAGTGAGAAGCAGCAACTGCCCCACGAGTGTCTCTGGGGCCAGCCACTCCTCTTCTGGCCCCAGCTGGCTCTCGCAATGTGCTGAAGGCAGAGGCTCTGGAACAATCCAAGGGGACATTATATCACTGGAAGTTCTTTAAAGGGCTATGCCTAGGGTTGGAGCACAATAAATATTTAAATATGCATGAGAATGATCAGGACAGCTATGCATCCAGAACTCCAAAAGCAGCATTATAATGCCGCTCCAGGGCAAAATATGTCCTATTTATACATGCATTTGATCTATGTTCACTGCTGAGTTGTTTTGTAATCTACTGCGAGAGCACATCTGCCCTAGATTCTGAGCCACTGGAGGCCAACAAGCTTGGCAGTCCAGCTCACTTGCCAGAGACAGACACAAAAGGGACTTAGTGACACATTGGGAGAGTAGATCCAGTCTGGGGCCAGAGAGCACCATGAACTGCCTAATCTTATGATCTAGACTGAGCCCTCACTTCACATTGTCCATAGGTTCTATGTACGTGTAAGGGAAACCAATTTGACCATAAGCTAACTGATATAAGCAAGAGTTAAGTTCCTACGCATGTATGTGATCGCTAAAACATCACGAAGCTTCAAAAGAAGGACACACAACATTGATAATATTAAACTGTCAATTACATTCATTCATTCATTCATTCATTCATTCCCCAAAACACTTATCCCAGCTCAGGGTTAAGAGTAGCCACAATCCATCCCAAAGCAGTTCAGGGCAAAACATGGGCACCTACTGGACAAGATGCCCTTTCATCACAGGGGGCGAAAACACACACACACACACACACACACACACACACACACACACAGGCAAAATTTCATCTTCTCCATATTTTACTTAAGGTGGAAGAAAATCATTATTATCTTGATAAGCTTGAGTGATATGAAAGCAGATTCAAAATGGTTGGCCCGCCTAGAGACCTGCCATTCCTGACCCTGGGGTGGACTCTTGGGGTAACCAGCCTTGACAGGCTTCTAGCCACCTGGCCTGCTCGCTCTGCAGAAACTGGACTTGCTGCTCAGTTCATTTCTCATTCACGTTGCATTCACTCTCTCACCCCTGGTCATTTATCTTATATGAGCTGCATTGCTTAATTTCTTTCAATAGACCTCCCACCTTTGGGACTGGAGGAAAATATTTAGAGAGAAGAATCAAGAAAGGGCAACCAGGAGCATTTCTCCAGAGGCAGAGCGGCTGTGTTCATTGAACTGGCTGCTCCTCTCAGGCCTGTGAAGTCCCTCTCACCCCAGATGTGCAATCAAACCCCAAGAGGACCCAAGGGTGACTTACAGTGGATTTTGAAGTCCTTGTACTGTCTGTCTTCGATTGCTACCACGTACAAAGCTGCCCGGTCTGGAAACATAAGCCCTCCAGGTTTCTGTTGATGAATTGTGGGGAAATGGGTCTCGTAATCTATTCACCTGACAAAGACATCACATTTTGAACTGCACATAGAGTCTCCAGATAGGCACCCCCTTGCCTGCATTTCTCACTCAGCAGACTCTCCTTGGCCAGGGCTGGGGCTGGCATGGCGTGCTCCATTTTTATTTCAGAGCGAAGGGAATTTGAGGGCCCTAGGTGGAGTTCATAAAACAAATGAAAGGGGCAGAGGTGAGTTCCATAAGGAACAAGGGAAGAAGGGATGACCTTTGAGCTTAGACGAGCCAAGGTCAAGGTCGGTCACACTCTGTGCTCTCTGGCAGCCATGCAAATCCTGAGTACTTGCTACTCCTAAATTTTGTCTTGACAGCAGAATATGGGTGTCAGGGATAGTGGAAGAGGCTGAGGTGAGACCGACTGATAACTATTGGGACACTAGATATATCGGATCCTGGGAGGATCATTCTGTCCCCTGAAGCAGATCTGGTTTAAAAAGAAGGGACTTGAAGAGGTCACCTTCTAGCCCAAGTCCTCTCTGAGGTCCTCACAGTCCTCCTAGGCTGTAAGCAGAACAGCGGGACGGCCAGTAGACTAGCGAGGGGGCAGCATGCAGGGCACTTACCAGCCATTTGTCCCTGGCAAAGATCACCGTGTTGAGCATTGACTCATAGAATAGACAGTAGCCCATCCACTCGCTGATGATGATGTCCACCTTCTCCACAGGCAGCTCCACCTCTTCCACTTTACCCTTAAATATGGTGATGACTGGAAAATAAGAATCCCAAGGCCACACTTTGCAGGGATCCTAGCGGGGAGCCGTGAGCACTCCACATCAAGGTTGCTTCTACAGGCTTGGCCCTGTTCTGATTCTGCTTTTAGAAGGTGACACCCCAGCCTTCATCAAGCCAGTTTATACTAAGAGAATGAAAACTATTTGCATGGTTCCTCCCTCAAATGATGGAGCAGCTACTATCTGACACAAGTGTTGAGCCCATTACACACCCATATCTCATAATTCAACCACTCTGCGAAGCAAGCACATTGTTATTACACTCATTCAGGGCTAAGGAAACTGAGGCCTGGAGAGATTACCTGGTAGCCTTGGAAACAGAGCCCAGGCCTAAAACATGATGTCTCTCTCACGCTCTTTCCCAGTTCCCACCCATTCGAGGCTGCCATGATGATTCAAGCCCACAGAAGCAGGGTGCGCCTCTCCAGCTCTTGTGCCTGCTCACAGCCAGGGCCCACCCTTCAGGGGGTGTCTACTGGGCCACTTATGCCTTGCCAAGAGCTCAGGCTCTGCCACCAGTGAAACCTGGTTTTAAGTGCTGGATTTTCTCTCTTTTTTTTGGTATGACTTTCCATAAGTTATTTGACCTGACTGTCTTCGATTGCTCGGAGAACAACCAGAGAAAGTGAGATCTGCTTAGCAGGTAGTTGTGATGATGAGATGAAAGAACACATAGGAAGCCCTGTGGGGCTGGGACGCAACAGGAGGCAGACATCGCCTCTCAGTGTCCCTTGCCTGCAGCCGATGGAGAGGGGAAGGGGTCTGGGCCAGACAAAGCCCCTGCTTTAAGTGGCCTCTGCTCCTGACTTCCCCATTCTTCCAAGATCTCCCCGAACTTCATGGAGGATCATTCCGTCCTCCTTCATGGCAGGAGGAACTTCCTAGCTGTGTTTTTGATCATTTGACATAGACCTACACATAGATTTGAAGTTTCTTTTTGCAATCTTGCTGTAAAGAAGCTAGCTTACACACAGTTGTTAAATTAACAGGTGATATATTGGTTGGCTGTTTCCCTGGGAAATTTTCCTCCCAAAGGTTACACAGATTCAAGTTGTAAAACTGACACTGCACCATCCTCTGAAAATTCACACTACGACTGAGTTTTGCTAGAAAAATCAAACAATAACCTGTACTCAGGAGGAAGGGAAAAAAAAAAACAAAACAGAACTAAGGTCAAAAAAACCCAAGTCTTTCTGAGTTTCATGGAAATTAACTTAGACCGGAGACTGCTGGATAGCAAAGGACACACAGGTCACTGGCTTTATCTCGTGTGTTCACAGTGGATGATGTAGGCGAGGGAGTGTCTACTGCAGTCCCTCATGACGATTTGCTCTCCAGTGTCAGGTAATGAATCCAGGCTTAAGCAGACCAGCTTTCTCTAGGAGTCAGACACTATGCAGATACGCATTGGCCCTGATCTCTCTGGATGAGGCCTGGGCTTGTGTGGCCCTCCTGTTACCCCTAAGAAGAAAGAGGAGGAGACTTCTCCAGAAGGCTTGGAAGGGATGGGAAGGTGGGTAGAAGCTCTGCTTCTCTGGGGGCTCTGCACCCCAGGACAAGAATATACCAAGGGCCAGACCCAGAATATACCAAGAGAATTCACAAGAAGACAAAGAAAGATTTGTTGAAAATGCAAGCCAAGGGCCTAATTCATCTCTTAGTCTGAAAAAGAACTGACAAACACATGCCCAGCCCACCTGCCTGATCATTTGCGTGCAAAGCCTGGCTTGTTTTATTTTTGCAAACCTTTTTAAAGTGTTTCAGTGACCTTCTTTCTTCTCTTTTTGCACATTTTTGAAGGTTCTTCCCCGTTGTCTGCCTGTATCTATGGGGTGAAGGGAAGGGGAATCTTAGCCACTGATGCCCAAATTGTGGATAGCTAAGGGCTGCAGATCCCCGCTCCCAATCCAGACCCCACATCACTAGAACTGTGTCAACTCAAGGTTGCAGGGAGGTCCCTCACTGGAGCTGTGCTCCTATTCCATGAAGATGATGGAACGCTTGTCCAACTCTCTGTGGCAGGACCCTGGCTTGCAAATTCAGGAATGATTCATCATAACTAAGTGCACATCAGGGAGCAATACATTCTAAATGGGAGGGTTTTCCCCTGTAACTTCAACTGTGCAAATTAGAAATCCAGATTTTTGTTGTGGTTATTCTTAGTAGGATTTTTTTCCCCTTTTTGGCTAAAATGGTTACAGAAATCTAGCCACTCTTGGGCATTTTTTAGGTTCTTTCTTTTTTCTCACACATTGGTCCAGCCTAATCTCACTGCAGCCTCCAGTTTGTCCATTAGAGCTAGCTGCCCCTGAAGGATCTGAAGTTAGACCCTCACTGTTTCCTGCAGCAGATCCTGTCCCTCAGTAGTGTGGGTATGAGGTTCACGAGTGTGAGATGGGGAGCATGCTATGAACCCCAGGATGCCATCCCTGCTGCAGCAAAGCTACGGGTCCCTGCTCCCTTGCCACAGTGCCCACACACCTATTCTGGCAACACCTACACTGGCTGCTGTGCACCTTCTGAAGGTCTGACTCACCTCCAACCTATGATCCCCTCCACTTCATTGTCTATTGCAGCCTCTTATTTCTAAGATCAGGCAGAGCACTTGATTCCACAATCATTCAAAAATCATCACAGAATGAATGGGTGGATAAAGAAGCAATTTTGAAAGGAGGTTTTGGATTAAGAGACAAGATTTCCAAACTAGGCCTAATGATGATGGTGAAAAGTTACTAGCGTTTGAATAGCAGCCTGCAGAGTAATGTCAAGTACATGACCTCGAGACTCCCCATAGGAGCCTATGGGGTTGCTTTTACTGTTGCATTTGCCTAATGAGAGAACAGGTATCCAGAGAAGTCCAGAGGTGAAGCCAAACCCAAGGCTGCTGTATAACCTGGTACAAGTCACCAACCCCCTGAGACTCACTTTTCATCTGCAGGTAGGTGAGACATCGGCTTATCTACCTTAGGGCATTGTGGCAGGTGCCAAGCAACTGCTTGGGGTGACAGGAGAAAAGGAAGTAGAGCAGGCCAAGAATAGCCCTTCCTTCTCCTGAAGGCTGGTCAGGTTGGGTGGTAGGGCGAGGAGAAGTATAATCACCGGGAGTTGCCAGGTTCGGGGATGGGGTGCAAAGGTGCATAACCCATCAACCTCTTTAACGTCAGCCCCACCTTAGTAAGAGGTTAGGCAAGCATTTTGGGGGGGGGGGATTTCATCTCCAGAGCCCAGATGCATGAATAAACCTCTCTTACAAGGCCAGCCCCGGCCCCACTCTTGAGTCAGTGGTGATGGGAGGAAGGAGATATCAGCAACTTTATCCTCAATGTCTAGTGGAATTAGCAACATATCCTGCAGCAAATAGACCCCCTAACTGGAGAGACAGGGGTGAGCCCTGCATACTGTATACCCTTGGGACAGACAGTACATACCTCAAAATGGTATCCCCTGTCTTCCCAAATCCCCTATTCACATAAGAACATAGGGCCCAAACCCTGTCCCCTAATCCATCTGGCATCATGTCCTAGCTTGCCCAGCTCCCTCAGGGGTAGAACGCTCATGCTCCTTAATTGGAGCTTGAAATCTTCTTAGTTTGGGGCCAGACAGCCTGCTTGGCATGTCTCCTCCTCCTGACACTGGCTGGATAATGCTCAGGTCTCAGCCATACTAAGTCTCATCTCCACCCCAAATGATCGCCCACCACTTCAGCCTTTTCAACGGTGCAGCGTGGCCAGATACCAGCATATTGGCCACGGGCAGATGATCGTGTTGGCTAGGTCAGAGGGATAAACGAAGGTTGTGGTAAAAATCAAAGCTTCCTCTAGCCTCAGGGATTCCGAATATCGGCCCATGTATCATTCTCACTCACGGATAGAGCAGAAGCCTACTGTGGGACGGGCAGAAGATGTCACCACCTTGGGGAACTGTAGGGCAATCCTGAGGTCAACAAGCTCCCTGTCGCTCTCACACACTGCCTCTCCAGTGCTGTGCTGCTCCCTGATTATCAACCAGGAGGAAGAACAAGGCCTGAGAATGAATGCTGATTCGGGGCATCTGTCAATGTTTATGGTGTAAACATTCCACCATGCCAATTGCTACTCATGCTATGGTGTCATTCAAGGCAGGTGGGAGCAGGAGGTGCAGAAGGGACATCTCAAGGCACTGGCCACCACCCCATCGGAGCAAACCCGCCATGCCTCTTGGGAGCTAGTGCCATTTGTGACTCGATGGCCATGCCACTTGCTCACTTTAGTTCATGTCAGTCATCTCCATGAGTGACGAGAGCGAGGATGGTGCCTGTTCAGTTGGCATGGTTACGCCGGAAGGAACGAATGCATGAAACCCTGTGCCAAGATGATGGATGGGCTGCTTCACGAGCAGTTAAGAACAGAAGTGGCAATTACAGGAGCCACTGGTACAGCTTCATTAAAAACAATTATATCTGATTCATCTCATTTCTTTTTTTGATGGGGTTATTAGTCAAGTTAATAAACGAAATAATAATAACAACAGTTAACATTTACTGCCTCTTACTGCCCACCTGATGCAGTTGTGTTGACACAGCAGTGTGCTGGGAGAGACCGAAAAACCTGCTCTCCAGGAAAAGAAGCTGTGACTTACAATGTTTGCTGATTTCTGTGGTGTAAATACTGCCACTGCAGCCAACTTCACACCACCAAGGTGACTTGATCCAGTCCACAAATGTTCTGAAAACTCAACAATGGGCCCTCTGGAGCCTGCTCCAGCACACCACGGTTTACACGAGGTGTGTGCCACGATCACTCCTCACAGATGAGGAAACTGAGACACAAGAAAATACATTGGACAAGTCCTCGCCTCCATGGCACCCTCACGAAGATGACAGATTCCTGTGTGGGATCTCAACAGCTACCTATTGGCACAAAGTCTCTGAACAAGAGTTGAATGCAGACCAGCCTGTCAAGAGGCAGGTAGGACCAAGCAAAGCATGGTGACCCTG